AGCAAGCAAATATATTCTATATTTACATATAAGCTCACATGGATACACACAAGTAAAACAGAAGTGTTCCTGTAACGATTCTTCACATGAAATTCACCTGAATTTTTGATTTGATTTGACTTCATTTGAATAAAGCATGGTTTGACGTGCACTAAGCTGTTTTCATGATCCACTAATGTGTGGCACTCAATTTAAACACACAATACACAACACATGACACACACATACATGACACACACACCTAACCTATACGTTACACATACCATATACACACAACCACACACACACACAACACACATCCATACCTTACACGCCCATATACCCACATATTACACACACAACCACACATACCATATGTGTATAACCACACCTAGATATAATACACATCACATACCATACACACTAAATAATACCACACACATACACACACAATACACAAAAACACCGCACACACATAATACATACATCACATACACATAGTACACATGTATCACACACATTACACATACCACATACACATACACACACTACATGCACCACATACACCATACATACATATAATACACACATCCCCCCCACACTAGTGACCTCCAGGACAGTTAGAATGGATAGTTCATCTGTCTTGGCTCCTTCTTGGGAACAAAGTTGCCCAGGTCAGAGCATGTATCCTCCCTGTCAGTTATGTGGGACCAGATACCCACAGACCCTCAAGGAACACTGATACAGGGGCTCACGCTGGGATTCTGAGCAGAAAGGCAAGGTTCAAGGAGAAGCCGCAGGTGCTTCCTTTATTGGGTCTTCTCTTATTTAGCTGAGATTCATGCAGCCGTCAAACCACCTTCTGGGTCAGGAAGCAGGTTGGATGAAGGCAGTGGGCAAAGGACAGGGCTGTACAAATGCTGTCCAAGGTAGCTTTGGGTACTACCATGTGAGCAGCACAGATGGTGGGGGCCAGGGAGGAGGAAAGGGTTAAGATCATAGGCTTAAGGTGAGAGGCAGCCTGCTTTTGTGGAATCTGCTTTTTAAAAAATGCTTATTTTTATGTGTATGTGTGTATTGCCTGCATGTAGGTAAGTGCACCCATGTCATGCAATGCCCGAGGAGGACAGCAGAGCTGTCGGGTTCCCTGGAACTGGCGTTATGGACAGTTGTTAGCTGCCATATGGGTGCTGGGATTCGAACCCAGGTCTTCAGTAAGAACAGCCAGTGTTCTTAACTGTTAAGCCACCTCTCCAGGCCCAGGAATCTGCTTTTTAATGCCTCATTTTTTTCATCTGTAAAATGGGACATAGCAGTCTTTAGTTCTTAGTGGTACCCATCAGTATGCCAATTCAGCAGGAAGGCTGAAGAGACGCTTACACAATGAGGCTCGTACAGTGGCTGGCGATGACTCGTTGAGGGCAACTAGTAAGTGCTGCTCTGGTTTAAAGGTACGTGTGTGGGTGTCAAGGTGGAAGGGGTAGACTTTTGATGGTCAGTCTTCATTGTCAGCCTGACTGGATTTCGAATCGTCTAGGTGACAAGCCTCTGGGTGTGTCTGTGAGATGTGTTCCGGGAAGATTAAGTGTGGTGGGAAGACTCACCCTGAATGTGGGTGTCACCATCCCACCCCTGGGGTCCTGGACTGAATAAGGAGAAAGTGAGCACCAGCACTCTCACTGCTTCCTGACTGAAGATGGCATGTGACCAGCTGCCTCCTGCTCTCACCACTGGGCCTTCTGCCGCGACGGACTGCATCACTCCTCAAACCACGGGCCAGAATACACCCTTCTCTCGAGTTGCTTCTGTCAGATACTTTGCACAGCAAGTGGAAAGGAGCTTACACAGTGGTACATCAGGGGCAGAGAGTGTTGAGTCCCCAGGGCTGTTACACAGCAGCAAGGACCCCATACCACAGACAGCAGGGCTGGAATTCAAGACCCATCATGGTGTAGATCCCGTCCTGCCAAGGCACAAGCTCCCTAGGCATCTTCACAGCCAGTACACTGCTTTTCACCCCCCACCTTCAGCCCAGCTGGCACTTCTGCCCCAGCCCCTGCAGGTGCCAGGGAGAGAACACTGTGGTTGGGTGGCTAGGGTCATCTGAGGGTGAATTCCCAGCTGGCTGTGTGCCCTCGGGCCTCTCACAGGAGTGCTGCAAAGTCCAGGGTTACAGACCCAGCCCAGGCTGTCCCAGATCCAGCATGATTTGGGGGCCCAGTGCTTGGACAGGCCAGCAGCTTCCTCCCACCCAGTGCATGGCAGAGCTGATGAAGGAATGGACAGGGCACGCAGGATGTGCTCTCTCCTCTTCCCAACTGCCACAGCTTAGTCTGGGCCTGGTTTTCCTTTCACCAGGCAGTTTGTGGCTACAGCAGCTTTTCTAAAGTACAGACACAACCTTTCAGGAGGAATTCCTTCCCCGACACCTTTGCTTACCACCTTCACCCCCCCCAGCCCCCTCCCCAGGCTTCCCATTGGCTGTGTCGAATTCCAAAGCCCACCTGTCCACCACACCTTTTGCAACACACTCAGCCTGCACCAACACCTCCATCCTTGGGGTGAGTCTCCAGCTCTGTCTGGCTGCTTTTCCCTGCTTTGCTGCCCAGTCCCGCATGCCAGAGTCCCTGTTATAGAGATCTGCGGTGCCAGGCCGGGGGGCGGGGGGGGGAGGCGCTCTGGGCCTTCCCACTATGCAGAACCCACTGCTGCTTTTCCAAGCTCCCTTATGCTCAGGCTTTAAAGAAGGCGCAGTTGAAAGATTTTGTGGCCATCCCCGATCTGGCCACTGGAGGGCAGTGGTGTGCTGAGGTGGGTCTGGGTTAGGCGACTGTGGACTTCCTACAGCACCAAACACCGTTCTGGGAGTGCTTCACAGCCTGCCTTCCAGGCTCTGTCACTCTGTGCATAGCTGGCCCACCTATCTTCCGTAACTCACGTTTTGTCCCCTCCTTCACCCCACACTACACTCATTCAAGAACTTTCAATGGCCCCTAATTCTCTCCATATTAACTCCACACATCTAACTTTCAGTTTCTTTTTATTTATTAAACAGTTGCAACTTCTTCAATAGCAACTTAAAAAAACACACTTGTGGGGCTAAAGAGACGGCTCGGCAGTCAAGAACACTTGTTGCTGTAGCAGAGGACCAGAATTCTAGTCCAGCCCCATGTTGGGAGGGCTGAAACTACAGCTCCAGGAGATCAGACGCCTTCTGCCCTCCACTGGCACTGCACGCATGTGCACATAACTCCCTCTATATAAATAAAAAATAAAACTATAAAGAAATCCAAAACAAAAAACATAAACATGCATCCACACATAACTTTCTCATATTTTGGTCTGTTTATACATGCATGTACACACATGTATGTGTACATACACACATATACATGCATACAGGCAGGATACACAGCATATCACAGCACACATGTAGATCTATGGATGTAGTCAGGGCATAAATACAAATTGGAGTTTTTCTGTTTGGCCTTTTTTTTTTTTTTTTTTTTTAAACTATTTATGCAGCACTGGTTGATGTGGAACTCACTATGTAGACCAGGCTGGTCTCAAACTCACAAAGATTTGCCCGTGTCTGCCTCCTGAATGCCGGGGATTAAAGGTGTGCACTACCACACCCAGCTTGGGCCTATTTTAAAATCATGGGCTTCTTTTTCCACCTTGGCTGTACAGTTATCAATATTAAGAAATGTTGGGGCTGGAGAGGTGGCTCAGTAGTTAAGATCACATGTTGCTCTTGCAGAGGACCCAAGGTCAATTCCCAGCACCCATACTGGATGGCTCACAACTGTCTGTAACTGTAGTTCCAGGGGCCTCCAAAGGCACCCTATACTCACATGCACATAACCCCACATGGACACACAAACACACACATAATTTAAAAAAAATGTCAATTTGGTTTTTAAGGTCATGTTTACTGGTCAGCCCATTCCATAAGACCCCAGCTCCCCTGGCCCTCAGATGCTGTTGCTCTTTGAGGCCAGAACAATGGCCAGTCCCTGCTGGGGTCTGAATCCACAGGGGGCAGGAGGTATTAGTTTAACTGTAGAATACTTGCCTAGTAAACCCTCCTGTCTCTCCTTTCCTGCATTGCAGCTTCTAGATAGCTGTTCGTGCTTCCCTCTACCACAGCCTGTTCCCTCTACCACAGCCTGTTCCCTGCACCCAGCCCTTTGCACTGGGTCCACAGCCTCGCCTCCCTCTACCTTGCAGCTCCTGTTGCTCTCTGGAGACAGGGAACGCTTTATGACTCATGCAGGTTAGTACAAACTTAGCGACTTAAGACGATAGAGCTGTATTCCTGCAGTCCTGGGAGCTAGAAGTCTGCAGTCAGGGCCTCACAGGGCCGTGCTGCCCGCTGCCCCAGAAGCTCCAGAGGCAAGCAGCGACTTTCCACTCTCTTCTGGAGGCCGACGGTCTTCCCTGCCTTGTGTTGCATCACTCTGGTCCTTATCTGTTTCACATGGCTGCTCCTGGGGTGTCTGTTACATTTCCTTCCATGTCATTTTCATTTGTAGGTGCTGAGGACTTAACCCACGGCCTCAGGCTTGCTAGGCAAATGCTCTACAATTAAACTAACACACTCTGCTCGTGTTTCACTTCTAGAAGTAGACTTGTCACCGGATCTAAGGCCTGTGTAGCTAATCCAGGTTGGTTTCCCACTTCAGGGTCCTTAATTACATCTTCAAAGATCCCTCCAGAAGCATAATGTCACAGTTGTGAGGAATATGGCACGCCACATCTTCCTGCAGGACATTATTCAACCCACTAAAGTCTCTATGAGGCTCTTCAGAGCTGGCCCTCAGACCCACATGGAAGAAGGGCTTCCCAAATCAGTGGGAATCAATTTAGTGAAATCACAGTGAAGGAAGGGGACTTGGACAATAACTCAGGTCAGGCCTCACAGCAATTCTGGTTCAGGAGATCTGAGCTCCTGCTAGATATTGGTCAGGGTCAGATAGATTACGCTACAGTGACAGACAGCACCAATACCTCAGTGGCCTGACACAACACAAGTATGATCACCTTGGGCTGGTATAGGGCTCACCTCTGAGCTGTCCTCCTTCCAGGACCTAGATGATGGATGATCCACCTTCTGGAGTCACTGGTCTCTGTGGCAGAGGGAAGAAATTTGTGACCAGTTAGGAGCTGGTGGTACCGATCACTTCTGTTCTTGATTTTATTTTGTTTTTTGCCACAGCACATACCATGGTGGGAACATGGAGTCCAGCTCTGTGTGCCTAGAACTGATCCTTGAATCTGTTTTTCTCAGAAAGCAGCACAGGATTGGACGCATGGGATTTGATGGCTTTGGAGAAAGGTTCTCAGCATGAAGTCCCCATCTCTCACCTGGGTCACCTCACCAAGCAGGGCACTGTCAAAACAAAAGCAAACAAAAAAAATCCCGAAGTTTCAACAAATGTACTTGACCCAGTCGTTTTCATAGATTCATCAGTCAGACAGCATCTTGCTCAACATAGAGGGCGCTCTGTTGGCATGGCAGGGTAGCTGGGCTTTGTAGCACTGCTTGAGAAGGAACAAGGAAACGGTGCAACAGAGCCTGTGCTGAAGGTCAGGTCACTTTCTTCGTAAAGGTAAAGCAGAGGGCACTTCCTTCCCGCAAGAGCTCAGGCTGACTAGGTACCTTCTGGTAGGTTGCTATGAATCTCCTGTTTTGGGGAAATCTGGTCTGTCTGGGGATTCCTCTGCTTCTTTAAAGCTTCAGTTTGATCATGTGGCACTTAGTGTAAGCGACTCCATTTTTGTTTGGTTTGCTGGGTCTGGTGCAGGAGCTCAGTCCAAAACAATGTTCCATAAATTTTATTTAACAGCAAGACAGGTTGGAAGCCCAGGTGGCTGAGAATGAACAGCCATGCCATTCAGTTAGGACGTCCGTGTTGTTGCTGCTGTCGACGTGCCGCGTGTCGACGTGGGATGTGGGCCTCATGGTGAAAGAAGTTGGGGCCAAAGTCAATGCTCTGAGCATGAGCATGCCCCGGGCTAACCCTGAGCCACGCATGGGCTTCCCACAGGAAGGAGCGTTGGACACACTCCTACACAGGAGTCCAAACAGAAGCTAGAAGTCACTACTGAGATTCACCTGCTCCCTCTCCAAGTGAGCTCACTCTGGAACACACTCAGGAGCTCACGTGTTATCTAAGGAGCACCTTTGCTGCTTTTCTGGTGAGAGAGAAGAGAGGAGAGGGTGGCACTTGTTTGATGACACCCACATTGGTCTCTCAGGGGTCACCAGGATCCACCCAACAGAAGCAGGATGAACTGTTTGGATGTTGTCAAGCAAAAGACGACTGGAGTGGGGGTGGCAAGCAACTCTGGCTTCATAGGAAATCTCCATAGAGAGAAGTGACGATTTCAGTGAGGCTGGGGCGAAGGAACCGAGGTTTGGCCCTTCGCCTGTGGGGGTCTCTCTAATTCTGGGTAGTAGCAATGTTGACCAAATTGGGCCAGTTTTGGTGGTGCAGGCTTGTAATCCCAGCTCCTTTGGAGAGTGAGGCAGGAGGCAAGCACAAGATCACCTGGGCAGCTTAATCTTGTCTCAAAATATGAAGTAAAAGAGGGCTGGGATGTAGCTCAGTGGGAGAGTGCTTGCCTAGGGTGTTCAGTACCCTAGGCTCAATCCCTACTGAAAAACCCAGAGTATAGAATACACAGCCAGTGCGGAGGATTGCACCAAAGCCCTCACATTCAGCGCTAGGGTATTCTGTGAGTAGGGAAACTAGTTTTTCTTTTCTTTTAAACTTTTTTATTATTTTTATTTTATGTGTGTCAGCGTATTGCTTGCATTAGGTAGGTGAACCTGTGTCGCGCATTGTCCGTGGAAGTTGTAAGAGGACATTGGATTCCTTGGCACTGGAGTTACGGACATTGTTAGCCGCCATGTGGGTGCTGGGAATTGTACCTGCGTCCTCTGCAAGAGCAGCCAGGGCTCTCCACTGCTGAGTCATCTCTCCAGCCCCTGTTTTTCTTTATGCTGCGTTTTGATGGGTTAGGTCAGGCAACCTTGCTTGAGAATGCGGCTCTCCTTTGGAGCTTAGGTGAGATTTTTTTTGGAGTAAGGGTTTCCACTGCCAAAAGAATTAAAGTTTGGAAAGCCACAGCTCATTCATTTTTTCCCTCCCCACACTGAAAAGCCTAGTTTCGATGAGTGTTTAATTCCCTTCATGCCTGTTAAAATTTTTTACGTTTTCTTTCATTTGTGTCACAGCTGTCTCCCTGGGCTTGCGTGCTACAGTGCTTGTATGGAGACCAGAGGACAACCTGTGGAAGCTAATTATTCCCTTCTGCCTTCTGGGTCCCTGGGATGGAACTCAGGTCATTGGGCTTGGCCTCAATTGCGTGCCTTAACCTGCTGAGCCATTTCACCAGCCCAAACCCACGCCTATTTCACAGAGCCCTTGTGGTGGCCCAGGTAGTGTTGCAGACAGTGAGATAAAATTAGGGGACCTTCTGTTTTCCAGAGTGCCTCTCAATTTATGGGGGAGATGAATAGTCACCATGGATCACATGCGGTGTAATGCACAAGGAGGAAGAGAGTTGAATCTTGGCAGAGCAGTGAGTGCCGCTCATCGGAACTGAGGCTGACTCTGCTTTGACCAGGTCACTGTGAGCCCCCCCAGTGCCTAGCACCTGAAGACTTTGGTTCTCCTGGACTTTCTTTCCTTGTAGTTTATAAGGTTAGTAACTAGCAGAGCAACTTTCTACAGGGTAGACTTGAAAACAGCTGATCCACCTCCCTGGACTTCCTCAGGATATTAGGTGAGGATCCAGCCCAAGGTTGAGGTTTGGGTGGAGAGCGCTAGGCCTAGGCCGCTGCTCCAGGTGCTTTAGGCCCCTTCACAGTCCCAGCCAGTGACAGGGGTGTGGGAGACAGAGGTCAAGAGATTGTGAAGGAGGAGGAAGTTCAAAGGGCAGCAAGCTTTCCACCTTAGCAACTCCCAAGTAAACACTGCAGCCCCAGCAGAGGTGAGTGACCAACCAACCAACTGGGGAGGAGCTGGTCAGCAGGGCGAAGGGAACAGCAAGAGAAAATGAGATTTCTTCCTTCCTACCAACACTGGTTATTGTCCCCCAACACTCCTTTATAATCATTAGAGGAGATTATTTCCTTTTCAGAAGTCTCTGTTCTGAAAACAAGGCCCAGATGTCAATGGGTTTTCCATACCTGCTATGGACAGGCCACCTGATGAGAGTGCCAGTCTAAGGTTCTCCCACTAGGCATATAGTGGGCCCAGCCACCAGCATCAGGATCCTGGTCACACTGGGTTAGGAAGTGGCTAGCATGTGACCAGGCCCTGATAGGCTCACATTTGTGTGGGCTGTGGACATGAGGTTAGAGACGGCCTCGTGGGAGCTCAGAACAACAGCCCAGAGACGGGATGAGCAAGCCCACCATAGCATGCAGAAAACAAGAACATGGTTTTCCCTGCTCTTACCAGGATCCTAAAATAGAATTCTGTCCTTTGTCCCGAGGAGTCCAGGCACTGTGTGTGGGTGTCATGACCACAGGCCCCTTTGTTTCTCTCTTCCACAAAAGGAACCCTTCTTCCCTGTGCCTCTAACGCTCAGCCCACAGCCCAGCATCTGGTGAAGGTGACTGTCAGCTCTGGTCATGGTGCGTGTCTGGGGCATGTGCTGCTATCCCGGGTCACCCAAGCCTTGCTCAGCACTGCTGATGCTGGCCTGGGCCATTGCCAGTTCCTATTTCTCCTGGCAGCAATGTCAGTGTTACACATATGCCTCGGGGTATGGGTTTTTGAGTGTCACTAACCCAGGCTCTGTGTGGGAGGCAGTGTGCCTCTCCCGTGGCATCCCAGATGCAAGTATTGCTGTCTTTCTGGCTTCCCTGGGTTCAGCCATGGGTAGCCTAGCAGAATTCAGGAGGGAAGGAGAGGAAGGCATGCTCTGGGCTGGCTGGTCCCTTCAGCTGACTGCTACAACTCTCTCCACAGCATTGTCTCTGGGTTCTAGAAAGTCTTCTCACTTTCAGTCCTTCAAGCCTCAGGTGGATAATTAAGCCCCACCCACATCTGTGCAAACAGTCTCTACTAAATGCTTTGATTAGAATGTGCCATCTGTCTGTTCTGGCCTTGACTCACATCTAACCATGTAGCATGTATGTGAGTATGCATACATACATATAACACATATACAACACACACACACACACACACACACACACAACACATATATAAGACATACAAAACACACATACAAAAAAAAAAACACACACACACACACACACACACACACAGTATCGTGAGCTAATGCCCACGCTGTCCTCCAGCAAGGCCCTCTGATTCGTGTTTTCCATTCTATCCCGGGTTTGAAGAGCGCTCATTTCACCCATGGTACAGAGTCTATACTCACTTCCTGCACTGGGAACAGCCCCATGGCAGCTCTCAGCCCATGGCAGAGTCAGTGTGAAAAATGACTGGGTCCCTTGGGTGACTGTGGAGAGGATGCATAATGCGGCTCCCGGAGGGGACACCTGGAGTCCCTGAGAGGGTCCTCCAGGGGGTATAGTTCCTTCTGTGGCCACCCCTCCCCAGGGCTGGCTTTCCACTTTGTAGGCTAGAAACTTCTGTTGGTTAGAAACATCTGAGCTGTCTCACTTCAGAACACTGTAGAGCTGACGGTGGCTCATGGTGAGAACACACTGATGCTGACTGTGTTCAGCACCAGGACCTCTCTCTGGTAGGAATCCTACCAGAAGCCAGTGGCCAGCACAGCCTGAGAACTTGAGAGTTAGTAGAGCTCAGTAGCTGCTGCCGCTGGCTGGCCCCAGCACCTGCGAAGGGCGTTCTGCCTCCCTGCCTCTTCATGCTTGCTGACCCATCAGATCTCTTGTTCTCCTCCTTTCAATGTCTGAGCAATTGAGGCCTCTTACTTCAGGCTCCGGTGGTGGTAGACAGGGGTTGCAATGGTCTGATGTGTCATCCCCAAAGTTTGTATGCTACAAACATACGCATATGCCAGTGTTATTTGGAAGTGGCACTTGGTCTTCTGGGGCAGGATACATGCAGAAAAAGATGAGTCAGAGTCCAGGTGTGGTACACGCCTTTAACCCCAGCATTTGGGAGGCAGAGGCAGGCGATCTCTGTGAGATGAGGCCAGCCTGGTCTACATAGCGAGTTCCAGGCCAATTGGGGCTATAGGGAGACCCTTTCTCAAAAAGACAAAACCCAAAAAACAACAAATAACAACAAAAACCACCCATGAACATATGTTGAAGCAAGAACAGAGACTGTGCCTACCCATCAGCTCTCATTCCTAAGTGCAGAGTGGCCCCTCATCAGTAACTTCCTTCCCTACCCTGCTAGCCACCCCCAGTGCTCACAGCACTACTTGGTACAC